GGTAGATATATAATGTTATTTAATGGCTGGTGTATGGATTATTTTGGACTTTTTGGCGCAAGCTGAACCCAGAACATGAACATGAGCTTGTTCCCATATGCGCTTCCTTCTCCTCCTAAAAAAGAATCACTCTGAAGATGTGAAGTGAGACGTATAAAATATAAAATACAATAAACAATAAACTATGCTATTTATAAGTTATGAAACAAATAATTCTAAATTATATATTATATAACTCATTTAGAAATCTGGCCCGTTTTTCTCTCCCCTGCGTGAGCTCTCCTTCTTCGCGATTGAGAGTCAAACTATTATGTAATCATAATTATAAATAAAAAAATATTTAAATATGATATAAATAGAATTTAAATAATATTAGTAGGATTTAAATAATATTGAATTATATTAATAGTCTTCGAATAGATTAGGATGTCTAGAAAATATTTAGATAAGATTAGAATATCTATTTAAATTTATAAAATGCTTATAAATAAGTATTTTGCAATTTGATTAGAAGTCATTTAAGGCCTGTTTGTTTTTATAAAAAATTTTTAAAACAAATTTTGGAAACAAAAAACACACAAAATGGTTTGGTTAACTGTTTTGAAAAAATTGTGCTTGAAAATAAACATAAAGAGATTAGACAGTGAAGCTTTCATGAGAAATCAAATTCTCAAATAGAGAAAAAACTATTTAATAAAAAAGAAAGAGTTTCCCAATTTTTTCAAATAAAAAACAAGAAATACAAAGACAAAAAAATTACTAAAAATTGTTTTATTTTTTTAATTTTAAGAAATAAATTTCTGTTATTTCATAATTAAAAACACTTAACTAAAATAAAATTACTTACTCACCTCAATAAATCATCTATAATGGTAATAATTGGTGTTTACCTATCATAACGAGGCAATGACCATTCCTACTACTTTCACAGTTCTTTTATTTTTCTCATACACACACACACATACAGGGATGAGATGTAATTTTAATAATAAAGTTTATTTTATCATTAATAGGCCCCACGGAATTAATTTAAAGGTGTATTTTTAATGACAAAGTTTAAATTATTGGCATTGGACACCATCAAATTTATTTGAATGTAAAAATATATATGAATTTTCTAAAAGAGGAAAAAATAATAAAATTCATCAACTCCCATTAACATTTGTTAACTTTATTTTTTTGGGTGGCACCACTGCCATATTCTCTCTCCATCTAATCTCACTTTCAAGTCTATCCATCTTTCTCTTATTAGAATCAACACACGCCCTCTCCGTCTTGTTGTTTTTGTAACACTTGCTTTAACTATACCAAGGTGTTGTTTAATTAGCTATCGAGCCATTAAATCAGGTTTGATCCTAGCCAAAAAAAAATATAGTTTTCATTAAACCTTCTTTTTAAAACTTCTTCCAAACAAGGGGTTTGGTCTTATATAAGGGGTGGAATTTTCTTTTTATTGCCATTGCTTTATCTTCCGTCTTTTTTTCCTCACCCTTTTGAGATTCATCTTCTCATATCCTTTTTTTATCCCCCCATTATTTGCTCTACTCGATTCATGGCCTCTTCTGATTCCACCACTGATCAATCGAGTCCATCTTACATCTATCCCAATAAAAATCCAGCATTGGTTCTTGTGTCCTCCTCCTTTGGATGGCTCCTACTACTATCATAGATGGGCTCGAGCCATGCATATGGCTCTTCTCTCCAAGAACAAGTTGAAGTTTATCGATGGATCAATTTCTTTATCGGCCTTTACCGATTTGACTTATTCTGACTGGGAATGCTGTAACAATTTAGGGTTCGTTTGGATTGCCGTTACAAATGATAAAAGCACACAGAAAAGCGTGAAATTGAGGTTTGTGGTTTATTATAACTTAGAAGATTGTTTGAATGGGACTTCTTTTCTAACTGACTTATGAAAAAAAGTAACTTTTCTAATTGACTTATCTAACGCAATCTAGATCAACTTTTCTAACTGACTTATGGAAAAATTGTGCAAAGCTCACGATCCAATTAGTTATGTGATTCTATTTACTTTAATTATAGACCAAATAAATTTTAATTTATATTCATGTTTGTCCATTATATATATTTAATTAATTATCTACAATGTATTTTCAAATTTTTCTCTATAACAAATATTTTTATTCTATAATTTCACAAATAAACTATTCATATTTTATCATAATAATTTTACGTGTTTTTTAAAACTATTATCACATTAAAAATATAAAATTTCAAACACTACTCCATGTCATTTTCAGTCATTTTACAACTAAACTAACTTTTTTATTAATCATCCAAGCAACTTTTAATTTTTTCAACTGGCTTTTTAAAAACACTTATTCAAACATAAATTATATTACACTAATTGACTTTTATTCTAACTTCAGTTACAAAAGTCAGTTGAGTTAGAAGTCAGTTTTGTCCAATAGCAATCCAAAAATACCTTTAGTCCAAGATTGGCTTCTTAAATCTCTGTCTCCAACGATCATGAGAAGTATTTTGTGGTTTGATAAAACTTTTGACATCTGGAGTAATCTTTGAGCTCGATACTTACAATATGATCTTTTCTGAATTGCTGGGTGACAAAAGGAAATTTACAGCTTCAAGCAAGGGAGTTTGAGTGTTAATGAATACTACACTCAATTGAAGATCCTATGGGATGAGTTAGACACTGTTTAGGTCCAGCCTCTTACGTTGCGTTTAGTACGGGCTTCTAGAGGGAAGGGAGGAAAGTGGCTCTTCTTCTCTTATTTGGTTGGGACTTTTTTTTCAAAGAGGGAAGGAGAGTTGTTTCCCTCCCCTCATTTAGGTTCCTTTCTCCTTTCCCGCCTTCCTTGAGATTTTTTGCAGGAGAGATGAGAATGAAAATATTTAAGTAAAATAACGTAAATCTCCTTTTATATTCTCTTTGGCTTTTTAGCTCTACATTTCTCTCTCAATCTTGTAATTTTAATAACTCTCATGAACTCAACTTCATTCTTCTCCTATATGTAACAATTTAATTAGAAAAATTAAACTGCTAAAAAATATGAAATGATAAAAGTCATTGGGACAAGAAAAACACTAGGAAGTATTATAATATTTTTAAGAAAAGTCAATATAGAGTAATATTAGATTAGCTTAAGCTAGATAGAAACACTAATAAGTATATTTTAATCTTTTAATTAATTAAAAATGAAAATAAAGAAATAAAAGATAAAAAGAATAAAAGTGTAGCTTTTCTTTTGAATCGAGCAAAACCAGTAAACAACATTATGAAAAAAAAAAAGGATTTTTATTAGTTTTTTTTTTAGTTTTTCTCAATGAGTTGTGCTTGTGGTAAAAGCACAGAGTTTTGTTTGTTTATTGAAATTGATAAATTATCTCATACATATTTACATATTGATAAGATAGAAAATAGAAAAAAAATTATTTAAATTTAATAAGGGTTAAATAGTTCGTCTTTTGAATAGCTCTCCTCCCTTCTCTTCCTATGCTTGTATGCCAAACAATGTATTGTTAAAATATCTTTACTTCTTTCTCTTCTAATCAATTTAAATAAAAGATCATTAAAAAATTTTTCCTCTCTTTCCCTCTCTCTCGCTATCTCTCTCTCCTTTTTCTGTCCTCCCCTTTTCCATTAAATTTTTTTTTTGAGAGCCAAACATAATGTTAAGGATTGCACATGTGGATCTACTAAGAATGCGCTTACCCATCGTGAGGAAGATCGAATCATCCGATTCTTTGAAAGGTCTGAAGGATCAATTTTCTTCGATCAAGTCTCAGATTTTGCTTATCGATCCGTTGCCTTCAATGCATCTCTTGTGCCTCAAAAAGAAAGAAAAGTGAAAGTACAACACTGGCTTAGATATAAATTAACTGAACTGACAAAATGTTAAACTATACTTCCCAAGATCAGTTGGATTTAGAATACCAAGTGCCCTTTGACACTCCTTCATAACAGATTTGCATTAAAAAAATCCGTACTCAACAGAACTGGGCGATCGCTCAACTCCTTTTTGGGTAGACCCAATTACATTCTTCGTTTGTTCTTGCTTCGCTAATTAAAAACATGGACACCCAGGGAACCAAGCTTCCAAACTTATTTGATTTCCACTCCATTAAATTACTTTACTAATTATTTCTTAAGAAATATTTTTAACTTGAAAATCTCCATCTTTTAATTATATCAGCTTTATGTGAATTCTCCAATCCACCCTTATTAATAACAATTATTAAAATAAAACTATATTTAAATAGCAATAATTAAATATAATAATTATATTAAATTATATTCCTCTTATATACCCTTATTGCTTTTTGGTAATTATATATTTATAAGTGATTTTAATAAATAAAATCCAAATATAATTCACATTCTCAATGTTACTGATGAGAAAAAAATATTTAAACACAAATTATGATTAACCAATATTATTTTTAACGGGTATCAATTACAAAAATTATGATGACATAAAGTCATGGCTGTTCACTGCTAATCCAAGTGGACACTAAGTTCAAGTGCATTGGTTTCATTTTTTTTTTTTTTTTAACTGAGCTTAAATTCAAATTTGAAATTGATTTCATGGGTGATGGTATAATACTTATGGCAGGATTGTGATCATTTTTCATCGAGTTTGACATGATATAAATGTAAAATTTCACACTAATTGAAAAAAATAAAATTTCAAATTGATTTTAAATTCATGTACGATAATTTTGAAATTAAATTAACTTCAAAATAAATTTAATAACATTACTGAAACCGTTTTCATTAAAATAATAAAATCTAGTGATGTTAAAAATAATAAAAATCTCTTATATGATTTTAAATTGGTGATTGAAAATTAACTAAAAGTTAAATATTAAATTACATGGTTTTTTTAAAATCCATATATGAAATTCAGGACATTCAATCTGCAGTTTGTTCTAATGTCTGTTAATAACTGTATTGTAATGTGCGTTTTGGGGCTTCTGGCAAGATAGGCCGAAAAGAACGAAGGGGAGTTCGTTTTCGCCAAGTGATCTGTAATCCCTTTATCGTCCCCATTTGATTCCGACGGTTTTCTTCTGCAAGATTCCAACTAGCAAACACAGGTATATTGTTTTGATTCTTAGTTTCTGATTTCTCCTGCTTTCCTCTGAGTCTGAGGGATCTTTTCTTCACGGCAGAGCACCCTGAAGCAGACGACGATGGACGGCGCCGCACCGTACCTTCCCGAAGAAGTCATCGCCAACATTCTCAAGCGGCTGCCGATGAAATCCATAATACGATTTCAATGTGTCTGCAAGTATTGGAGAGATCTCATCAAGACTCCATCTTTCATCCAAGACCATTTCCGCCACTCATCTCTACAAAACCCTTCTCTTTTTATCGGGCAGTCCAATGGAGATGATCCTTTCCGCTTATATTTGCTCAACTGCAAGATGCAACTTCGTGAGTTTGATAAGGCGCCTTTCGTCGGTCCCTTGGTGGGCGTTTGCCTCGTCGGTTCTTGCAATGGCTTGCTTTGCCTCGCCGATTATAACATCCGTCCTCCTGCCCCTTTGTTGTGGAATCCGGCGACTAGAGAGACCAGACAAATTCCCATAACTTTTAACGATTCTCGGATTTGTTGGGAATTCGGATTTGGCTTCAGTCCCATCATTAATGATTACAAGATTGTAAGAATTTCCTTAAATCCTTGTGTTTGTGATGTAGAAGTGTATTCATTAAGCAAAGGGTCTTGGAGAAACATACCATTTGACGACTTAAAAGATATTTGTATCAATAATCATGGTGTTAATGTCAATGGAGTTTTGTTTTGGGATGGGATCGAGCTATACGAAGGGGTAATGGATGATGATACTGATGATACTGATGTAGATACTATTGTGATAGTTTCGTTTGACATAGCATCGGAAGTGTTTACAGCGAAACTATCGCCCACTTCACGCTGTAAACTTGCTGTGAATGACGATAAACTTGCTATAATTTCTCCCAATTGGATTACAGATTCTCCGGATTCTTCTATTTATTTTGGGGAGTTGGAAGAGGTTATAGGGTTATCTGAGGACATATGGAGTTCTAGGGACTACATTCTTAGCTATGCATTCAATTTACATGAGTTATATGTTGGGAGCGTTTGGAGGAATCAAATTGTCTGCATTGATTTTGGAATGCACAGATCTGATAAGCTTAGAATGGAGAATGCTGAACACCTATATTTGATCCATCTCACTACTAATGAACGTAAGATGCTTACTCTCCCCACACTCAAATCTGGCCATGATGTTAGTGATTTCAAATTCATGGAAAGGCCTGTCACAATTGCCAACTTTCAAATTGCAAGGCCTGGTTTTGGTTTCAGTGTTTTCAATTATGTGGGAAGCCTTATGCCCATCGACAACATTCAAATTGAAGAGCCTTAATTCTCAAGGTTGATTATTACATTTTTGTTGGAAATGTATCTTTTTTTGATAAACTGGAACTACAAACGTAAGGCTATATTACAATATGGTGTCCGATAATGGCATTAATAGTATCCCTGCTCATGATTTGCAAACCCATGGCTCCATTGAGTGCTATTTTGGCGAGAGAGTCCGCTGTTACGTTATCAGCTCTGCTTATCACTTGGAAACCCAGTTCCCAGTTCCATTTCATCATTTCCTGAACCTCGTGGATGCTTTGCCCGTCCTCATGAAGGAGGTGATCTCCTTTTAGAAGAGTTTCAATAACTTCGGAAATGTATCTTTATCAATGCAGACTTCAGATCACTGTATATAAGGTTTGATGCCCTTTAGTGTAGCATAATAAATGCAGACTGGCTGTTTCTTGCTTTATGTTATCTGTCTATGATATCCGGTCATCCCTTTTGCTTTCCAGAGGTAAATATATACTGCTATTTAATTGTTACTGTATGGATTATTGGGCCTTTTTATATCATATCTGATTAGATTGCAATGTTTATACAAGGTTTTTCTATCAACAAGTCATGGGCAATATTTCTTACTTGTGAAATTTTGTGTAATGCATAAGAAGAAAGCTTTTTGTTATAAAAGATGATCTTTGAATATTTGAGTTCATATTTTCCTGTAACGCTAATCAAGAAGCTGTTTTAGAGCACTCTATTGGCACAAGAAATACAAGGTCCATTATTTGACAGAAAATATCATCAGTAGATTTTTTTTTTTGTTTTTTGCCCTTCATAGAAAGATAATTTGAAGCATTATTATATACTACCTTCGGTTCTAATTATAAGGGCTAGTTGATTAATTTGAGGAGATTAAAGAAATGAGTTAAGTTAATTATTTGTAATAAATAAGTGTTGTTTTTTCTAAAATATCCTTACTAATCAAGTGTGTTGATTAAAGCTACAATTATTAGAAGAACTATCTTGAAAAAAATTACATAAATATGAAAGATAAAGTGAATTAAGGTCTTATATCTAGGATTAAAATAAAAGTTAAATAAAATCTTATATTAAAGACCAGAGGTAGTATATATGTCTATTTATGGAAAAGAATGATGTTTTGGTTTTTTTCATGAACACAATGGAATTTCCTTAGTGGTGCCTCATTTTTAGGAAGTGGGCTTTATCATTTTTATTATTTAATCTGTCTTCTTCCCAGTCTAGTTTAGCTTTTATTTTGGGTTAAGCCCTCTTTTGTACCCAAAAATATGTATCATTTCATTTTCCTATTTTTCTCTATATTTTCTTATTTTATATCAATAGAAAAATAATGTAAAATGTATATGATGTACATATCTGGGAAGTTGTGTTATATTCTTGTCAACGAATCAAATTATTAATATCTCAATTTTACTAAGTATTTAAGAGTGTTTGATTTCACTTTTTGTTAAGCTTAAATTCAAATTTGGAAATTGATTTGTTTATTGCCATATCGGTGATACTTCTGGCATGATAGGGATTATTTTCCATTGACTTGATATGATATCAATATAAAATTACACATTAATGGCAAAAAATATAAAATTTCAAATTGATTTCATGATTTCATATGAGAAAAATTTGAAATTAACCGCAAAATAAATTTAGTAACCTTACTACAGCTGTTGCTATTAAAATAATAAAATCTCATGAGGAACATTTAATATTTATACAATATTTTTCCATAAAAATATGTTCTTTAGAAGCATTGCTTTGTGGGCCAAAACATTAAGCAATCTTTCATATATTCCCTTCAGTTCTTATTATAATAAGGTATCTTCTAAAAGTAGTTTTTGGTCATAAATATAAGTCATTAACTAATTTAGTAATCGCTACTTTCCAATTTTACCTTGTTATTAATTACTGTTATATATATACATATGATATAAGAACTTCCATCTGGTAACCCAAATATCATTTTTCTATGACACATATTTTCTTATTTCAACTTTTTGTATTAATTCTGAGAATAAATAAACCACACTTTCAAAACCACAATAGACCTAAATGCCTTTTTTCTGGAGGATTTCGACGCCTAAATACCCCACTATACATTCCGAGAAGTTCGCGCCAAAAAAAAAAAAAAGAGGCCCATGGTGAACCAACGGGTGAGATCATGTTAAGACCAACGGTTAGGATTCTTCTCATTATTAGAACGGTGCGTTTGGTTGATGAGCATCACATAATGCGGTCTCAAAAATGCTTTCATTAGTCATTTCCTTTTGGTCGCCGCGGCATGAAGCAGATGGTGATGAGCGGCGCCGCGCCGTTCCTTCCCGACGAAATCATCACCTACATTCTCACGTGGCTTCCAGTGAAATCCCTAATGCGATTTCGATGTGTCTGCAAACATTGGAAGAATCTGTTCAAAACCCCTTCTTTCATCCAAGACCATCTCTGCCACTCCACTCATCAAAACCCTTCTCTTGTTATTGGGCATTCTAATAGAGGTGAACCTTGCCGCTTATATTTGCTCGACTGCGAGATGCAATTTTGTGAGTTTGAGAAGACACCTTTCCTCGGTTCCTGCAATGGTTTGCTTTGCCTCGCCGATTACACCATCCGTCCTGCTACCCCTTTATTGTGGAATCTGGCTACTAGAGAGGTCAGACAAATTCCCATAACTTTTAATGATACTGCGTTTGGTTGGAATTTTGGATTTGGGTTCAGTCCTGTTATTAATGATTACAAGATTGTCAGATTTTCCTTGAATCCCTATGTTTGTGGAGTGGAAGTGTATTCATTAAGCACAGGGTCTTGGAGAAACATACAATTTGACAATATTAAAGGTCTTTTTGTTCTTAGTGATGGTATCACTGTTAATGGAGTTATGTTTTGGCATGCGCCAACGGCAGCTGGGATAGTTTCATTTGACTTGGCAACGGAAGTGTTTACAGTGACGCCATGGCCTGCTTTTGCAAGTTATTCAAGGGAACTTGCTGTGTTTAAGAACAAACTTGCTATACTTTATCATTCTAGGACCAGAAATTCTCAATATTCTTGTCTTTCTTTGGGTGTGATGGTGGACAGGGGCATGGGTTCATCTGGGGAGAGATGGGTTTCGTGTAAGAAACATATTTACAACATTTGCAACTCTGATCTTCATTTATGTGCTGGGACAATTTGGAGGAATGAAATTGTCTTCATTTATTTGGGAATGCCTACATTTACTGACCCTGGAATGGAGGATGTTGAAGGCCTATATCTGTTCAATGTCAATACTAATGAACTTAAGTTGCTTGCTACCCCTAGACTACAACCTCTACATGCTGTTAGTGTTTTTCATTATGTGGAAAGTCTTGTACCACTTGGGAACATTCAAATTGAAGAGCTTAATTCTCAAGGTTAATTATTCAGATTTACACGGTTATGTATTTTTGGTAGAAATGTATCCCTATCAGTTTAGATTTCAAATAATTCTATATACGGTTTTATGCCTTTTAGAGATGTTATATAGAATGACAAATGCAGATATTTTGTTTTATTTTTGGTAGAAATGTGTCCCTTTTGCTTTTTAGAGATGTTATATAGATTGATATATGCCTTCAGTCCTACTAGCACCTTTTTACCTCAGCAATTCTCTACATAATGATAAATGTATCCCTACAGGACCTTGATGATGTTCCCAAGTGTCACTGTCACATGACATGAAAATATTTTAGTTGCACCTCATGTGCAGTTTAATAACATAATATCAATCATAAATATATAACTCAAAGATGCTATTTTCTTATCTTGCCATAACAATTCTAAGAAGAATCTCAGATTGACAAATTGTATATATTCTATTTACAAAAGTTCAATACCTGTCATTCTAATTTATGGACATATAAAACATGGGGGTTTTTTTTTTTTTGAAAATATGCTTCCCTCAGTTTATGATTCTATTCTGTTGTATATCTTGTATCTTTTTTATTTAAAGGCCATAAAGAACTGCATGTAAACATGGTTGAGGACACGCTTGTGGACAAGACACAGGTAAAAAAGCGGGTTCTGTTTTAGTACTATTGCTTCTTCTTTTTTTTTTGGGGGGGGGGGGAATGAAAGGCAAAATGATATGAAAGCTGAAAAAGATAAAGTTCTACAAATAACAGTACAATGAAGAACAGAAAAAATTAGAAGCATAACTCGGAAAAGATTGACAAGAGCCTAGCTTAGCAGAAACATTTGCGAAGGAAGATGATAAGATTGTAATATCCTCAAACAAAGTACTCTTACGGTCTTATATTTAAGACCGGAGGAGTAGTACGATGGTCCTTTAGTCAGTTCTGGTTTGTAACTCTTTCATTTTTAATATATTACTATTTTGGTTCTTAATATAAGATTTAATTATTAAGTTGATTTTAGTTATAAATATGAGATTTATTTTTTATATTATTTTTTTTAAATTACTTCTATGAATACTTTCTCAACTATAATCAAATAAAAGGGGGAGAGAGGATATTAAAGAAGATAATTATAGTGTTTTAGGAAAAATATCATATTTTTTATAATTAACTAAATTATCTAACTTCTTTAGTCTAATCAAATTAGTTAAATATGTATTATATTAAGGATTGGAGAAGTATCATTTTGCTCTTTCGTTAAAAAAATAAAGTATAATTGCATGGTTGAATTAGCTAATAGGAAAGCTTAGGAAAAAAAAAAAGTATATAAATTGGAGATAAAACAAATTAAGATGTCATACTCAAAATCAAAATAACCATCGCTAGGTTGCTCCTACGTTTAGGTTAAGAAGGGGTGTAACAAGACAATGGCTATTCCTTCATATGGCAATAAAGTAGAGGATCAAATTGCTGCCTACCCTTATTTGGTTTTAAAAAAAGAAAAAGCATTCCCCTCTCCGTTCCTTTTTTGGTTTAGCATAAAATAGAGAGAAGTGGATGGAAATTTTTAATATGATTTTTTTTCTTTTCCAAATTTGAGGGATTTGGAATTATCATCATAATCAACTAGTTTCCCAACAAATTGGCAATTAACAATCAAATAATTTTTTTTGCCACAAATTAATAATCAAATAATAATTTAATATCTTCTCGCACGAGAACAATAATTTAATGGAATGTTTTCTAATAATTTAATCTACAACATCTTGAAACTTCTTCCCTGTGGGATGCACAAAGTGATACATTTGGTTAAAATTATAATTGTAATAGACTGTTTAGGCAATTAGATTCACTTAAATTAGAATATATCGTATAATCATAATAAATTGTATAAAAACATATATAAAGATTTTGGGAAAAAAAACTGCAGAATCATATCACACTACATCGACATACCTGAAAAAGCAAAGCATATTAACCCCCCAAGAAAACAAGCCATATTTTCATTCGATAAGCAGAGAATTAAAAGAAAGAAAAACTGCAAGTAACGATTATGGGCTAATTTTCTTCTAGAGAATGGCGATTGGTTTCATTGTCAACTAGTTCAAAGTTTTCAAAGTGATATACACAGGTTTCATCTACTAACTCAACATGACTTCTTTATTTGAGTACCCCGTGCAAAGTTTCCAGGTTGAGTTGGTGAATAGACCTTAAATAAAGAAGTCATGTTGACCACCTGCTCACCTAGTCATGTCCCATTCAGAATCATTCCAATCTAGCAAGGAGTGTATGGTGAAACCTATGGCAATCCACTTCCTTGGAACACATGCCACAATAAGAGATAAGGCATATTATGTAGATGATTTTATTAATTGGGCAAAAACTGAAGAAACTAAAGAAAAGACTTTTTGAAAGCATATAACATTTTCCTTGGTGCCAAAAAACCAAATATAGTATTACACAATGTAGGTAAGAAGATATGTTAATGTTAGAACTCGAAATGAAGTGCCATAGAAGTACGTCCACTGAGAATAAATGGGTAGAGCGGCTAGATTGTTGCGAGCCATTAAACCTATTGTTGTAATAAGAACAAGTTTGCTATACTTTCTCATTTTAGGACCAGAAATTCTCAAGATTCTTGTCTTTCTTTGAGTGTGATGGAGGAGGGGGGCGTGGGTTCATAAGGGGAGAGATGGAGTTCAAGGAAGAAATACATTCGCGACACTTATCTCAAGGTATATGCTGGGACCATTTGGAGGAATCAAATTGTTTGGATTAATTTTGGAATGCTTACATTTACTGAACGTGGAATGGAGAATGTTGAACGCCTATATCTGTACTAATGAACTTGAGATTATTGCTTTCCCTGGACCCAAACCTGGTTATAGTTTTAGGATTTTCAATTACGTAGAAAGTCTTGTACCAGTCGGCAACGTTCAAATTAAAGAGCCTTAATCCTCAAAGTTAATTATTACATTGCGGATTTATATTTTACGTTGTTTAAATATTTTTGATAGGAATGTATTCCTGTCAGTCTGGCTTCAGATCATTCTATATAAGGTTTGATGCTTTCTAGAGATGTTATGCAGAATGATAAATGCAGATATTTCCTGTTTTATTTGATCTATCTGTAATATCATGCTGGTGTATGATTATGTGGGACTTTTTATATGATATCTGATCACATGGTGATCTCTATAGAATCTAGAGATTTCCAATCAACAAGTCATGGGCAATATCTCTTATGGAATTGTCTGTAATACATAGGAAAAAAGTGTTAGCAAGAGGGTATGTGATCTCTGAGTATTGGAACCGTTATGAAGAAGCTGTTTAAGAGTACTATCTCCGGTTCTTAATATAAAACCCTATTTGAATTTTATTTTAGTCCTAAATATAAGACCCCAATCCACTTTGTCTCTCATATCTATACATTTTTTTTAAAATTAGCCCTTCTAATAATAAGAATTCTAGTCAATACACTTGATTAACAAAGATATTTTAGAAAAGACAATACCTATTTAGGACAAATAACTAGCTTAACTTACTTCCTTAATCTCTTCAAATTAGTCAACTGTCTCTTATAATTAGGATCGAAGGTAAACTATATAAGCATAAGAAATACTAGGTCCATTCTTTGACAGTGATAGTCAACAGATATTGGTTTGTCTTTTCTTTGTAGAATTGTACATTTTGGAGAATATATATACATATACATATATATGGAAAGGGATGGTGTTTTGATGTTTCCTTATTGTGCCTCACATTTGCTTGGTTGGAAATACTTTGCATGATCTTGAACTGAGATTTAACTGTGATTTTGGTAAACCCCCCCAAAAAATATGAGGGGGAAAAAAAACATCTCCTTGTTAAAGATGGAGGGGTTCGATCTAAATCAATTATAGATTAATGTAACATACAAAATACAAATACAATACTACGTATTATTCTATTTATAAGTTCAGAAACAAACAATTCCTGAATTATATAAATCAATGAAGTTGCTTTTCGGGGTTGCCTAGTTGGAATGCGAGGGAGGTAAGAAGGTCATTTTTGCAGAGTTCGACCTTTTAAAAATTATCTTAAAAACAGTTGTTTACTTTACTTTTCACGACTTGACAGAGCATATATAAGGTTTTTTAAAATGTGTTAGCTCCATCATATTATAAATAAGAAATTATAATTCAAACTGAAAATTGAAAATGCCATAGCAATGGAAATGGTAACGCAGCGGATGCTTCTGAGACTGGAAAATTGTTGGGTTTCAATGACTTCAATTTAACAAATTGATGAGGTGGGGTTTTAAAATTTTAATAACAAGAAGACATAAGATTAAAAAAAAATTAATTAAATGCTTTTAATTGTATTTCAATTTTCAAAACAAATCTATGAACTTAATCATGTTTAAGGAATTATCAAGCATTACATGTACACACTTTTTTTAACATGGATTTAAACTTTGGTTCACTAACAAACCAACTCATTCCATTATACCCCACCCTATTGATTAGTGTTTGCTTTAGATATTTAAGCCTTAATTACCTCACTATTGAATTAACAGTGGGTTATTTCAACGCATTAGCCATCTCAATATCCATATTTTGTTGGGGCTATGCTCTCTGCATTTGCAGGAACAAGTCTATTGCATACTTTGTTAGTTTGGGTTGCACTTTTTTTTTCCCCCAAAACTTGGGCCTTTTTTGGTTTGCCCTTTACTTTCTTTTTATTTACCGTATTAGGACCTGTTTACCATATAAGTTTATAAGTAGTTTATAAATAGCTTTTCAATAATAATTTATAAAACATGAAATAAGTATTTGATAAGAGTTTTGTCTCAACTTACGTGAAACGTACTTATAAGAGATTTCTTAAATCCTCCCAAACAGATCCTTAGTAGGGGGACTTAGACTCAAGTTTTAGTCTTCGTTTTTTTGGAAATTTTTTTTCAGCCTAACACATCTACAAATGACAATATGACTTTAAAATCTCATTAATTAATTACAATCATAGGTTGGAAATTAGCTAC